AACCAACTCCGATCTCACCACACCAAGACCTGTCAACCTCTAAAAAGAAAAGCCAAATGAAGATCCCACGCAAATCTCACCGCAACCAGATATCACTAGCTCACAGCCATGCACGGAGTACATATATGTATATTATATTCCGTATAGCCTTCAATGTTATCCCCACAATAAGCGAACCCCGTAACCTGGAAAGTTACGGGAGGGGAAAGTCGGAGCTGTCACGGACTCTGCATAGGGAACGTGTGTGTACAATTTGTACATTGAAAGTACTTCGTCTTTCTAGTACAACATACGGAATACATACTCTATGGAGTTCAGAAATTAGTCCGTATTGCAAATATACCCTTGTACCCGCTTAGACAGCCGAGAAGGTCCCGGGAACATATCTCCCATTTTTCCCGATGGATACATAGAAGAGTTTGCAGACATTTTATCCATGTACATATATAAATTGTTTATTATCGTATACTACATATATATCCTACTCTGTACGGAGTATACAAGAAAAAGAATCGGGAAATGTCACCAGAAAAGGCCTCAGCGCCCCTTGGCCAACTGAGTCTCCACTCCCGCATCTCCGCCATACGCAGACCGAAGCAGGATTTAGACGGACTATCATGTTGATATATCACATTTGGGTCGGTTTTTGCCTGGTCTGGATCCCTCTCACTTTTCCTGTTTCGTTTTTGGCGTGTGGCGAGATTCGATGATCGGGATTATGGAGGTCATGGGGTTTGGCGCCGAATATGCCCGGCGCTTTAGTTTGGTTGTTTCATTAAAAGATGGTGGTATGGGGAATTGGTGGTTTCGTATAGAATGGGGATTGAGAGGTCTCACTTTGACAAAAGTACCTGGATTGGGACGAGGTGGATTGGACTATGTGCCTGGAAATGGAATGGATATAAGTTACCACAGTAGAGAACGAGGGGTTTACCGAATGGGCAGAAGGTCCCTGAACTAGATATTTCGAAATCATATATAGATGGTTCGTGATGCGATTGGATTCTCTCAACCGACCAGTTCAACAAATTCAAGTCATCCAGGTCAAGGTCTCGCTGTATTGCAATATACCAAGCCAAGTTGCCTATAACATTGAAAGATATCAAAATCTCTATCTATAGAACCATTGCGCGGTATATCAAAACACAACACACTCCACCTAATCAGCTTCTAGCCGAAGATAAAAGAGCACCTAGTATCCAATATAAATAGCCCACCAGATGCCAACATATTCAAATCTGTAAAGAGCCAATGTAATTTGCTGTCATTGAAGATGGGTATGGGTAAAAGAACGAAGTGGAGATTGACACAGCAAGCGAAAAGAAAAACAACCGAAGACTGCTGCGCCGTATGTACAAGATGCATCGCTTGAGAAAGGCCACTGGGGGCCAGAGAGTCAAAAGCATGTCCCCACGGACACTATCATGCATGCTCTATAATGGACGCTCTAAAGGTAATTCTATCGGGACTGGGACGTCGCCTTCGTGGCGTGTTTGTCTCAGCTGGTGGTGGAATAGTTGCCACACACCCTTCAGCGCTTCTATGCGGTCGTTGGTGTCGAGCAGGTCGAACCATCGAGTCCTCTGCAGCTTCAGCACATGCCACGGCTCGCCTTCGGTTGCTGGGAAGGTGCTGTCACCATTGGTGAGGATATCCAGATACCGCCTGTGGACGCGAAGGTGGAGGATTGAGACGTGGTGGTTGATAGATGAGATCATGTAAATCTGCAAAAGAAAAATAAGGGGGTTAGCTCTGTCTGGCCGTAACATCCACACTCAATCTCAATGGGGAAAAAAGGCAGGGTATGCATACATCGTCAAAGGGACTCTCCTGGACCTTGCCTATCTGCAAATAGCTCATCCGCTTATCCCAAAGACTAGGTCCAGGCTGTAGAATCTTCCACTTCTCACTGGTAGTAAGTCGGCGCATAGCACTCGGTCTCCGGGAGAGAGACGTGACAAATGGATGCTCGAACTTGTGACGTTTGGAAGCGCTTCCTGCCTCCTGGGCAGATGGCGTGCTTTCTTCCATCATTGAGTCCGGCAGGGACATCCCGTGTCCGTGGTTAACAAGATCATCCAGGATCCCGTCGTTGGGCGCACCACCAAAGCGAGGCTGCATGGTCCACCATTTGCCTTCCCCGGGTCGCTTCTCCACTGCGCCTTCGCGGGCACGCTCTTGCGCCGCGAGAAGCATGCCGCCCACTTCGCGGAATAAATCACTTACATCGCCAATCCCGGTCCCGGGGACATTGTCCGCCGTGCGGAAAGACGTCTCAGGTCGACACTGTGAGATGAGAACGGGGCCTTCGAGCATGCCGCTCCGCGCAATCTGGCGGTCTCGCGGAGACCGTGAGGATTGGAATGTTTGTCGGACGGGGAATAGGAGGTTCTTGGTAGTCAACCGTGGTTGGAGCGTGGGGACCGTGACCTGGCATCCGAATGGCCATGCGGCCATTTCCACAAAGGCTCGAATTGTCTCGTCACGTAGTTCATCGGGCATCTCGGCCCCATTGCCAATTCGGCGGCCCGTGTATACAGGGACAGAGGGCCGCTGCTCCTCGCCAACAATGCCGTTGCTCGAAGGTGCGTCCGTCTGTGCGTTATCCACGTCCATTGCATCGTCTGTCAGAGAGTGTCCGGCCTCGGAGTCCTCAGCATCCGTCTTCATTGTGCCATCCTCTGTCCGCTCCATCTCAGATGGGGGTGTTGGATCTGGGGTTGCCGGACGCTCGTAGTAATGGTCTAGGCTAGTATCCCAGTATTGAGCCATGCGCTCCAATCCTGTCCAGAACTTCCTCGATTGTGTTATACGAACCCGGCTGCGGCCCTCACGTGGCGGCAATCGAGCCACCTCGCGAAAAGCGTCGTCATTATCTAACGCCAGCTCTTTCTCCAGGACTTCGTATCGTTCCTTCGAGGGGTACGGGAGTCCATTATCCATCAATGGCCGCGGGTTGTCTTCCGTCGGTTCGGTGGTATCTTCCCATGGCAAGGGGGCGACGGGGTGCGAGTTGTCTTCGGGGATCATTTGGGCGACTTCGACGCCTGTCTCCAATTTGAGGTTCAATGGCTTGAAGCGCTCCGCGCAGATGTCCTGTGGGCGTTTGATCTCGGCCAGCAGCTCGGCCATCTCCTTGAGTCTCGACTCCGACTCATTTTCGAGGACACTTGACAGGTTGTAGACAGGGAAATCAAGAGGTGTCGGGTCAGCGGGGGGGTCTGCGTTCCTTCTCCGGCTCTGAAGTGGCGGAGGGCAAGGCTGCCGCGAAGTTGTGTTAGCTTTCTGAGACTAGTAATGTGGTTCGTCAACAGATCTGGACAACAGATCTAAGGTATAGAACTTTAAGCCACAGTCAGGGGCTCCAATCCAACGTGGCGCAGGTTAACTTGTTGACATTTCAACTTGCCACTTGGTACAAGGGGTGGGTATAGCGGGGAGGGGGGAGAAAACATCGAGGGGTAGCAAAAGGGAAATTGCTTACCCAGCCCAGAACCCCAGCCAAACATTTCCACGGATGTAATGCAAATGCAAATGCACGATTATCGTAAAGTTCTAGTCCGGTCACATGGAACTGAACGGAAGGCGAAGGCGGAAACGGCAGAAAAGGCAGACCGAGATAGGTTGGTAAATAAATAAACAGAAGGAGAAGTTCAGACAAGTTGGAATTCGAGAAGCAACAACCTTATGTGATGTGGAAGAGAGATGGAAGAAGATGAAAGGAAGGGGACTTTGTGCAGGTGGGGAATCGGAAACATTTGTCCTTACAGAGAGAGTCTCCGACTTTTGACTCTGATATGTATTCGTCTGCCCTATGACCTTTTCATGTATGAACCTATGACCTACAATGTCTATTGCATTCGTCAGGGCATTCAGGACATTAAGGATGTTCAGCACATTTAACACATTCAGGTCATTCGTTACGTCAACAGATGAGGGTGGAATGTTCTTGTTGCCGAGTAGAGCTGCCCTTACACTCCTCCATACATGTACATACTCCGTACTTTGTTCTAGTACATATGTACTGTACTGTCTTCCCCTTTTTTGTTCTATTCTCTTATATCATCCATCAATGCTACTTGGTTATATAAATGTCGACATCTCCTGATATATCCAGCTGAATATAGTCACATGACTCCAAAAGAGGTACAACATATACGATTCCTGAAGATACAGTACTCCCAACTGCTAAGACCTGCAAATCTGCAAATCTGCAAGACCTGCAAGACACCAGCAACTGAAATAGGCAAAACGTGAAACTTCAGGGAGTCCTCAGGTTGGATCAGTCCAAAAATGAACCTTGGAATCTCTCGAATCTCTCGCCAAATCTGAAACCGCCTTGTTTCGTCCGTGATACACTTCCCCGCTCAAATCCTACCTAAGGAACAATAACGACGAGATTGTGCGCATGCAGAAAAGTTAGGCAGTGTCACATTATTGGGATTCCCATATTCTTTGGTGATGATCGTCCACTTGTGGACCACCTGAGAGTCTTATTGGACCGAGGGCTAAGCGCCGTTCATCTGTCACAGGAGTTGCTTCCACCCAGCCAACAGAAGAAGCGCCGGGTTCCAGACTAACGAAAGACAAAAACCCCTGTCGGATTCTGTGGGAGAAAAAAAAAAGGAGAAAAGAAAAAAATTACTCTATATAACCCTCCGACCTCTTTGTATCTGACTTGATACACTTTTTGGGCCCCTATGAAGATGAATCGGGAACTATATAGAATCCCAGCCTGACCACGGGATTATGTTCGTGGCTGTCTCGAGACTTCAAGCAACAAAGCAAGAAACAGAGGGGGTTTGGATGAACCATCAGACACAACTTGATAAGCCTATTGCTTTGTGGGTTCCTTTGTCACTTTGTGCTTTGTCCAACACTCATACAAAGGGATCCATCATTTTACGTCGCCCCCATGTCCCATTCATCGAATACGGACTCGGCAGTTATCATCAGATCTGTCTTTTAACGACTGGTGCCCCCTGCGGGCTCGCGGCGAGATGCCGAGTACTTTCTCCGCCATTGATACTCCCTCTACGCCGCTCAACTTCATCGGGACGTGGTCCACAGGCTCATTCAATCCGGTGACAGTCACGTCAATTGAAACGGAGACTATTTATCCTACATGGATCTACACGATATCTGGCTCCGGACCTGATTCCAGTACCACAACCACTGTGCTTAACTTCTCATCGTCAACGCTGAACCCGACCCAGGTGACCTTGACTCAGACGACTAAGCTGTCGACAACTGAGCAGGAAACCATAATATCGACTTCCAGCTCTACACCAACAGTTATCTCCGAGTCCCCAATGTCGCCTGTGATCCCAACAACTTCAGTTCTATCAAGCCAAATGGGGGACTTACCTATTTCGGCAACTGCGAAATCGTCTGATCGCTCCTGGTATTCTAATGCTCCTAGTAGCATATGGACTCTACCAATTCCATTAATTCCATTAACTAGCGCGAGTATACCTCTTTCATCATCACTGCCTGTCTTGCCGGAGACAGCCACTAGCTCTGTGAGCCCCATGAGTTCCATCAGTACCCCAGCCAGCTCGAGCATCGCAGCAACAGGAACACCTACAATCTCACCATCCATCGGAACCATCACAAGCGAAAGCTCTTCGGAACCATCCCAAGCCGACAATTCAAGCCCCACATCCTCCAAGATCGGAACGATAGTTGGAAGCATAATCGGAGGATCAGCAATCACGATCTTCGCCCTGCTAGCCTGCGCACTGTATATGCGACGTCGACGACGAAAAATAGCAGCGGAGCGTCAAGGTATCAGACAGAAACTAATACGAGGCGATTCAACGAGCTCATCAATCAGCCACCACCGCCACCACTCCTACCCTTCGATCCCAGGCAACATCAGCCTTCGATCCCCCATCCTCCCATTCATCCCACTGCAACAGCAGCCTTCAAACCCAGACCTATCTCTGGACAGCATGTATCTGTGCGGCGACACAAGAGCGCAAGACCCCTTCGCGGACCCGCCGTCTGCAGTCATCGACATCCCAGCCCCATCTCGCTCGGCCTCGCTCTACTCCACTTCTTCCCTGGGCGCTGGGATGGGTGCACAGGGGTACTGGGACTGCGAGCGCGAAGGCGCGAATGCCCTCGCTGTACCAAATGGGTACTCGGATACGCCTGTGATGCGTGATAGCATGCGCAGTGACCCCTTCGATCTTGATCTTGAACCTCCGCCGAGTGCTCACCACCGGTCTTCTGTTCCTTCGATCTCGTCTACGTGGGGTGTCAAGTTTTAGATGGCGAAATCTGCTTCCTTTTTTGTGTTGGGTTTTGCTTCCGGGATATGTCATAGGTTTACACTTCTACACTTGGATTCTTTTTGTTTTACGCTGGTTTATGACGACAAGATCTTACGAATTCTGTTTCTGTTTCCTTTTTCTTCTATATTTCTATTTGTATTTGCTTACTTGCTGGCATCCCCTCTGGCCTGTACTTTATACCTTATCTCGAGTTCGGTGTTGAAGGCCTGTTCTGTCCACTGGAGTTATATGAATATGTACAATTTAAATTACATATTTCCACCGTGCTTTTATTCCACGCTGGTGTTTTGCTGTTAATTATAGATTTTTATAGTCGGTGATTTGTGGGATTTTGCTATGCAGATATATATTCAGCGGTAAATCATATTTCGACGCAAATATGGTTACATATGTAGATTTTTGATTTAAATATCTACATATGTATATATTTTGAAAAAGACTAAGAAAGCCAAACCTCCTTTCTCTCATATCCATGTCAATATTGTGGGTTGGGCTGTTCAGTCTAGAAGTGGATAGGCCGTTTTAGATCCAAATCCCCAGAATAGCAGTGGCGTAACCGCAAGACCCATAAATTACACTGGAGGTCTTCGGTCCGGGCAGTTGCCAAGGAGTATCATGGGCATCATCGAGATAAGCCCGCATAAGACATGAAATAGACATGATACTCCAGGTCTGGGCGGCCACAAGAACATCTGGTATCACTAACACATAGCATAGGGAATATACGACATACGAGCAAGACCCTCCAGTGAATGGTATCCACTGGCTTATAGATGGAAGACACGATCTGCTTCTCCGCATATATCAGGGTTATACCAATACCGTAGTAGATATGGAACGGGAACAAAGATGCGGTTTTTGCTTTGCCTTTTGAAGTAAAAAAAAGATTTCCTTTTGCTTTCTCGTTACATTTTAACAAGAATAGCTTGAGTATCACATCATCATCGCATCTTCCTATTTCCCATACCCCATATTTTCCGAAAAGATCCAATAAGGCCACGAACCCCATGCTATCAGAGAAAACAAAGGGAAGGAGAGAAAGTCGTAACAGAATCTAGACTAATAGGAAGACGCCGAAGGCCGACCTGAGTTCGATACCGGGAACAGCCTAGAATCCCGAATCCAACCCAGAAGTTAACCGTTTCCAACCTCCGGACCGCCGAATTGCAAGAAAAGCGTCAAACAACGGAAGGGTAATTGAATTTTTGTATCAGATTTACTCTTCGTTGATCAGAGCATCGCGCTTGGCCTCCTTGCGCTCCAACCGGCGCTCACGGAGAGCCTTGTTCTTGGCACGCTTAGCATCCATCTCCTCCTTGAGGACACGGTCGCGTGCACGCTCAGCCTTAGCCTTCTGGATCTGTAGCGGTGAAAAAGATAACAAGTCAGCCTGGGTGTGTCCTGTGTTGCGTGTTTCATGGGACTCATAGAATTCATGTTCCATATTCGATCGTCATCCGTGGGGTTGATCCGGGTTGTAACTTACGTGCTCAACGAGGGCACGCTTGTGCTTGAAGGTGTTACCCTTGCTCAGGTGGTAGAGCTCGTGGTAGAGGTGCTTGTCGATCTTGCCGGCGGCACGGTAGCGGACGAGGAGACGACGGAGAACACGCATGCGGCGCATCCAGAGGACTTGGCTAAACAGAGAAAAAAAAGCAACATCAGCAACTGCGTCCCAGTTCCAGTTCCATCGGGCGAGTCCAAGACAGGCCGGAGGGAGACGAAAGACGAAGGTGGTGTGCGTACCTGGGCATACGGGCATCCTTGGTACCCTTGCGCTTACCCAGACCGCGGTGACGGCCGTTGCGGCGGGCCTCGTTGAGCTCACGGGCGCTGGCACGGGAGTGCATGGTGACGGGCTTGCGGATGATCAGGCCATCGCTGACGAGCTTGCGGATGGTCTGGCGAGAGTTGGCGTTGGAGATCTCGCTCATCTCATTGGGGTCGAGCCAGATCTTGCGCTTGCCGCAGCCGACCACGGAGGCGGCGAGGCGCTTCTGGGTGGTAAGGTTGACCCTGTGGTGATGAAAGACCCGGTCAGCATCATAGCACACACATCACGAAGTTGTTCCTCCACTGTAACGAAAATATCGGGTCCACGAGTTGGGTGTTGGGCATGAATTCCACTGCACACGGGAGTGCATTCGAGAAGTTCAATAACAGCTTGGAGATAGAACTCACATCTTGATGTCGGCGTATCGACGGTCGTTGGCGGATGATGTTCGTGGCACTGAGAAATCCCGACGGTGAGAGTTTGAGAGGGCACTGCGGGCCAGATTAGGTCAGCCGAGGGCTAAGCGAGTGCTCCTTCCACAACGGGGGGAGTGCTCCAGGGTGTATGCCCTAGCGCTAGTCCGAATATGGAAATTGGAACTTGAAGATCTTGCAGTCCGGGGAAAGCCAATAGTTACTTACACGGGGAATAGTTGGAATAAAGATATTGGGAGAATAAATGTATTGAAATTTGGTTTTTAATTTTCCTTTTCTCTTTCGCTGTTGGCCATGGCATTCGTTGTGGATGGCAAAGACTATCACTATCACGTGACACCAAAGACAAGCAGTGTCACATGATCTTATACTTCCCGTTTAGGATAGAGTGATCTGCAGTATAAAGCAGTCTATTAGATGAAAGAACGAGCCAATATAAAATATACAGAAACATACATATGCATAACTTTTGTACGACTAAGACAAACAAAACCCAAGGGTATATCTATAAACATCTAGATGCTCCTTGGATGCGCAAACAGATCATCACTCATCGCCGAAGGCCTCTCCAAGATCAACCTTGCCAATGCTCCACAATTCCTTCTCATCATCTAGCTCATCATTCGACAGTCCCAAGCCACCTTCACCACCTTCAGCCTCCCGACGCTCACGTGCCTGGTTAGCCAAACGAACAGCAATGCGCTTGAAGTAGTCAGACATGCTGCGCTTAGGGCCTGGTGGGAGAGATGCACCCGGACCGGCCATGTACTTGTCAAACACCTCACTGTCAGACTCGACCACCGAGAAGATGGACAAGAATGCTGCCTCCGCGGCCAGCTTGACGGGAATCACCAGATCACGGACACCAGCGAAGATGGGAGGTGCGAGCAGAGCCAGATGAGGACGGGCCAGCTCAGGGTGAAGACGGCTGACAGTCCGGATGACCACCAAGCTCAACCGCCGGGTGTCGACCGGGTTGCCGACCTGGATGGCAGATGCCAAGGCTTCGAAGATGACCTTGCTTGACTCGAAAGCATGGTCGCCATCATTGGACAAGAGGTATTTGCCTGCAGCAAGAGCGCTGTTGTCGGAGACGAAGGGCTGTTTTTTGAGTTAGCTTCGAGCAATAATGGGTGGTTTATAAAATCGACTTACATCCTGGTTTGCAAGACCTTGGCAGATGACGGTGGGCAGCTCCACAGAGAAGTGTTCCGTCAAGACCTCAGGGCATTCAGCCAAAAGTGCATTGAGCCCGAGAACCGCTGCATGAGAAAGGGAGCCAGTAAGGATACGGTTCCTACGAAGAATATATTAGCATCCAGCAAAATCAAACCATGAGAACGACTATGCATACTTGATAAGAGGAACCGAGCCTGCGGCAGGAGGACCTTCACGAGAGCACCGAGCAGGCGAGCGTTGGTAATGGCAATGGAATCTGCGAGCATGTTAGAGAGTGGCGAAGTACAAGAATCGTTAATAACGATCTTACCGGTCTGGTCGCTAGCGTCATCATCAATCAGACCAAGGATCGCTTGCCGGGATGCCTCGCTCATGTTAGCACCAGCCTTACCAACGACCTCCTGGAGAGCCTTCATCATGGCGTCCTTCACGCCAATGTCGGTGGTCTTCGATCCAGCAATAAGTTCTGAAGAAAAGAAGTTAGTGATGAGCTACATCCCATATGTGGAACTTGCCGAGACTTACCAGCAATGAGAGGATCAACTCTGGGGGTCAGCGTAATCAAGATACCAAGACCCTTGGCAGCCCGGTTGCGCAGAGTCTCGCTCGTGGTGTCGGCCAGACCACGGGCGAATGTACGCTGGAGCTGAGGCAAGAACGGCTTGACAGCCAACGGGATCTTCTCCAGCAGCTTGTTAAGAGTATAGAAGATAGCGCCTGTCAAAATAAATCAGTAAGCAGATACCACATAAAGGCTTTGCATGACTTACACTTGATATCGACCGAACGTTCTGACACAACACGAATGAGCGGACCGGTGATCTGAGTCACGAAAGGCTTCAATGACTCGGCACGAGTCCGGTCAATGATATCCGACATTGCAAGAGCCGACTGGGTACGCTGATCGGTGGTACCGTTGAGAAGACCTTGCAAGAAGATCGGTAGGATAGCCATAATGCCCTTGGGCAGACTGAAGCCGGGCAGGTCCGCGCCAGCCACACCCACCTGTCGCAGAATCTGGCGGGTGGGAATAGCCAAGCTCTCCATCTCTTCTTTGCGCATGTGAGACATGAGACCAGTGAGGGCAGTCCATGCCGACTTGACGACATCCTTGTCAGGGTCGTCGAACGAAATCAGCAATGCGCGGATCAAGTCTTGGTAGTACCTCGAGAAGTCGAGCTCGGCTTCCGCGAAGAACTTGGTCAAATGGAGCGCCGCAGCAGCGCGACGATGATGATCGTCGTGCTTGACAAGAGTGATCATCACATTCATGGCGGCGCTCAGGCCATCGTACTCGTCCACAGACACCAGCACGGTGTCGAAGGCAGTGCTGAGCTCTGTTCGAAGCTCCTCGTCGGTAGTCTCGATGATGCCGTCCATAAGGGAGTTGAGGATAGTTGGCAGTCTCCGTGTCATGGCAGAGCCAGCAACTTCGGCAAGAGATGCCAGGGCTCGGGCATTGAAAGCAGTAATTGGCGGCGTGAGCAACGTGGGAATGAGGTTGGGAAGGATAATATTGGCACGAGTCTGCTCTGTGAGAAGCGTCAACAGAGCCGACAACGCTTGCTCGGCATCCTCGTCGTTTCTCAACAAGTGAAGAAGGTAAGGCAGGACCTGGTCCACGACTCGCTTGCCCATGATCTGCTGCAGTGAATCGAAGGCCTCAGCAGCAGCTTCCCGCACATCATCGTCGTTGTCGACCAGAGCAACGCGCACGGTGGAAATGAGAATATCCTCATAGTCCTCCAGCGCATCGGGGAAGCGGCATTGATAAGCTCGCGGAGAGCAATACAGATACCTTGCTTCACCTCCACGTCAGGCGAAGCCTGAAGGCCATCTTGAAGTAAGGGCAGCAAAGTGCTGAGCACAGACTCTCCAGCCTTCTTGATAAGGTCTCCCAGGGCGTTGCTGGCAATGACCTTCTGCTCCATGTTGCTGGATCCGAGGCGGCGAATAATGAGCTGAGACAGCGTGGGAACCATGTCCTTGAGCGTTCTCGGGGAGGCGACAAGCGCCTTCCAGACACCCAAGGCTGCACTTTTGACCTGGCCTGAGGTATCGCAGCGACAGATGTACAGAGCCGATAGAACCTTGTCCCTGCGCTCGGCTCCGAGAACCTCCAACAAGGATTGGCCAGCCTGAGTGGCTTCCTCCTCCTCTTCATCTCCCTCCTGCTTGCCGGAGATACCAGTAAGACTGAAGAGGAGATCGCCGACAAGCTCGACGGAACTCAAACGGATGCGGTAGCTATCGTCCGCAAGACCACGCTCCAGCTCGGGAAGCAAGAGATCAATGGCCTTGTGGGCGAAGTTCTTGACAAGCAGACGACCGGCCCGGAGAGCGGTCTCGCGAATAGCCTCAATATCATCAGCCAGACCAGCAAGGATGGGGGGGATGATCTTGCTGAGGTAGTTGGCGAAGCTGTTACCGAAGCAAGCAGGCAAGAAGATGAAGAGGGTCATGAAGCCTTCACGCACAGAAGGCTTGGCACTGGAAACGTTATGGAGAATGGTTGGCAGTGTCTCCTCGAGTCTGGTCGTACCAAGGCCTGCAAGGACCTCCGAAAGAGCTTGAGCAGATCCAAGTCTGTCACCAGCACCCGTATCGGACTTGAGAGTAGCCATAAGGTTGGGAATGAGGTCTGGCAGAGCGTCCTCTCCGAGTTTCTCGATGAGTGAACCAAGGGCCTTGGAGGCGGTTGCACGGGTTGTGGGGACTGGATCAACAATGGCCAAGTTGAGGCCAGCCACAATAATAGGCAAGTGCGAAATAAGATCCTTGCGCTCTGTGAGATGGGCCAAGCTGCCAATGATCTGTGCCGACTTCCGCTTGGTGTTAGACCGATCACCAAGACCACGCTCGAGAATGCGCACAACAAGGGCCAGGGAGGGGGCATCGAGGTAGTGCGCAAAAGAAACCTTGATCAAGGAATCCAGCGCCTCATCTGTATGCTTCGTTGGATCACTCAAGGCCTTCAGAAGCACGCCAACCAAGCTCTTCACTTCGGGGTTGCTGATAACCTCGCCGAAGCGCTGAAGACTGCGGTTTGCTGCGCTACGGACTTCCTTGTGGGTATCATTGAGCACAACCGTCAAAGGTGGAATGATGTCAGGCAAACTGGCTGCAAGCTGCTGCGGGTCCAGGTAGGCCATGGCTCCAAGCAGATCGCAAGCACCCTTTTGACTACGCCATTGCGTATCATCCAAGCCGTCGAGCAGGGTTGGGAGAATCTCTTTGACACCGTAAGAGCTGAGATTCTGGAAGCAAGCCCTTGAAGCCTCCAGGCAAGTCTCGCGGACGCTGATGCTGGTGTCACCAAATCCTGCCAGAAGCTGGGGTACGAGATGGATGACATAGGGCTCAAAGGTTCGCCCCAGAACTAGGGCGAAAAGCTCATAAGCTAACAAAGCGCCCCGGCGGTGATCCTTTTCTTTTTTGTTCTCGGCGGCCTCCTTGAGCTGGCTCATGATTCGGTACTCCCGCAGGGTCGCGACACCCCTGCCACACACGACGGCAGCAAGACCGTAAGCAGCACCGCGTTGGCGAGGATAGTCAGGGGCATTGAAAAGCCGGTGAAGTAGGTTTTCCACATACTCTGCAGTCTTTGAACCAGACGATCTGATCAGCGGTGGCAGACACTCGGACACAGCGTGCTGCACAGACTCCGAAGGGGTATCGAGGGCCACGAGCAGTTCACTGATAACAGTTTGCAAGCGAGGATCATCCGCCTTGAGATGTGTGGCCACAGATCCATATAACACGATGACAGCCTCGTTCAGCAGGTCAGAGGTTTTTGTGTCTTTATCCGAGGTCTCCAAGGTTGTCTGGAGCAAATTCATCATCTCCTCAACCTTTGACTCTCCTCGCAAAATGATAACGGATTTACCACTCTCTGTCATCTGGCCACGGACCCGGGAGTTTCCATCGAGCAAGGGACCCTTCTCAATCAGGAACCGCAAAAAGGAGACACTCTCGTCACCATCGAATCCGTTCGTCATGGCGTTGAAAGCCAGCGCGATACCACTGCGAGCCTCCCAGTGGTCTGCATTGTCTACTTTCTTGGGCATTCCGTAGGCGTCCTTTTCGGGTGCCTTAGGTTTGATTTCTTCCACATATTTGGATTGCAGTTCCGACAGAATGCCTGCAAACTTGCTCTTATCAAACTCAATAGCATGCGCCAAAGCACGAGCGGCAGCACCTCTGAGCTGGTAGTCCTTGGAGTCCAAGTATTTCATGATCTTGCTAAACGAGGTGTCATCCACCTCCAGCGCATTGTCTTCCCAGATCGTGTCTGCAATCTCAGCATTCTCCTCCACTATGTCATGGCAGCCAAGCCAGATGTGCTCCGAGAAATCGAGGTCAGTCAAATCGATCTCAGCCTCAATGACCTGAAGCACGGTTGTTCGGACAGAGGCATCGGCGACTACGGTACCCTGCAGAAGTGTATCCAGCTCTTCGCTGTTGATGCTCGGCGAGATGCATCGGCAGAAGTCGAATAAGGTATCCTTGACCAGCTTATAGTGCTGGGTGTATTTCTGCATGGCGGATAGAAGCTGACTCAGAACCTCGACGCGAGGAAGACGGGTGTCGGTGACTATGTGACGGTGTTAGCAGTTGGCTTGGTACTAAATTATCAAGGTTCAAGGGACGGGAGGACTCACAAGAACTAGAGTGGAACGACAGGAACTCAAGAGCAAGGAGAACCTGAGTGCCTTCTTCTTCTCCCTTCGCTTCTTCGATCCCGTTCTTGGTCAAAACCAGAGAGACAAGTGGAAGGACGTAGGCGAGAGATGTGGCATCAAAGGGACGCTGCTCAGAAGCGAAGCGCAATCGGTAGAGAATTCTTGTCACGAGCTCTCCGAGGGGCTCCAATTCCATATCGGAGGGGAGGTTAGTGTTGCCGATAGCTCGCAGTGTTGCAATACCGACGAATGGACGCAGAGGGCCGAGGCGGGTTGACACCTCGTCGGCGCAAGTGATGAACGCCCGGGAGACAACATCACCTACAAATAGACCAGCACCAGCCTGAGCAAGCGATAGCAAAGAACTGACGGCAGCATTGATCCACCCTTCTACGTCATTGGCGGGACCAGTTGCGAGGCCGCGAATAAGGCCCGCTCCTCGTTCGATCCGCTTAACTTCTTCCAAAACATCTTGACGGATCTTGGCCTCCTTGGCAAGCTGGGCCTTGACCTTGGAATTTTCCTCGGGCGTCAGCTTCTTTTGGCTTTGGCCCTTCTTTTCGGCTAATTGCGCACGGAGCTCTTCTTCCCACTTCAGGGTATCATAGTCCTTAGTGTTTTTATCAAAGGCAGGCTGCTTCGACTTGCTGCTGAGCACATCGATGAATGCGGTTCCTTCGGGGGTGCGTGAAATGGCGGCGTCAGTGGCGGTGAACTTGGATAGGCGAGTGCCGTCCAAATCGTATTTAATCTGATCGACCAAACGCGGGATCATTGCGTCGGGGGCAACAAACGCCAATTCAGCCCCAGCACTAAAGACAGCGAGGTTAACATTCGGCACCGCTGATTGCACAGGGTCAGTGTTTACGCGAACCAACTGCTCAATACAGTTGGAAGCGTGTGCGCGCACAAGATCTCCAGGGTCTGTGCCGGTCCTCAAGCACAACTCAATCCAAGAGGTGTTCGGGATCATCTCAGGCCGACCCAGAATCAACATTTCAATGAGAAGAACCTCCAGATCCGAAGACGAAATGCCGGAGGTTTCTATGACAGCCTTAGTTGGGCAGAGAGCTTTCAAGACCATATGAAGCAGGCGTTCGCTCTCTGGTCCAGCAGAAACGGCTGCTGACTCCTTATCCGCAGTCCGGAATGAAAGGATCCAGGCCCACAGTGCATTGAGGACGATGCGCCCAAAAGAGGCCACATCCGTCTGATAGACTCGGGATAAAGTCTCTGCGGAGTTCTCGCGAATATTTGAGGGAATAGCAGGCGCGGTAATTGCGTAGATAAATGTCTGAGCCCAAGCCGTCTTGGATGCGTCTTCCGAGCTGGCAAAATTGGGTCCGGAGGCCACAGCAGCCAGAGCCCTGACAAGCCACTGGACGTCTTCCTTGGAACTCAACTTTGAGTAAGCCCTGGCGTTGAGGAGGAAAGAAGGCTTGGGGCTCAATGTCATCGATTGGGTTACGTTCTCCTCCCAAGCGGACCGGGCTGATCCTTGAACATCGGAAACCCGGTGGAACAGAGCCAGGAAGAGGTAAGCCGAAGATAGAGCACCACTTTGCGCCGAAGGAAGCGGGTTGGAGGCAACCTCGCCAAACAAATCCTTCATTTTAGCGAGGAATTTGGTAACAAGTGGTTCAATTCCAGGATCCTTCAAATCCTCAAGATCAGACTTCCATAGGACTTCTCCTACATTTGCTTGCCAGATCTTTCGGAATGGAATTCGCTTGTCGGATACACCCTTGACGATAGTGCTGATAACATCATCGCTAACCTTGAGCTTGGATTGAACAAGGTATGTAAGGTGTTTGCTGAAGGATTTGATCTCCTCTTCCAGAGCAGCTTCGTTCGACTCCCGTGAAAAGACAGGGCAGAACCCTTGAACAATCTCTTTCGAGACATCCGCCGAAGGTGAAATAGCCCCAATGGCCTGGGCGTAAGCCAGGCGATGCTCAGGAGTAGTGATCTTCTGGGTTTTCAGAGGACCAACGATTTCACTCGTGATCTTCAAGACCAAGGAATCGGTTCTGCATCGAGAGAGCAAGGATGCAAAAGAGTCAGATGCACCTTGGCGGATTGATGGGTTGTTTGACTTCATGCTAGTTAAAAGATTCTTGGAAAGGCGTGTTTGCACCAATTCCGAGAGATCAATTTCTTCCGGCAAAGAGGCACAGAGAGGAGGAATCACGCCGCCGAGAACCACCTCTGGTGCTCGTAATATGGACTTTTCCATAGGAGGTACCAATTCAGTGGCGACATCTTCGTATGTCACGAAGGAAGTAAAGAAGTCGGACATGCCATTGGCGACATGTGCGGGCACAGCAGATTTTGAGCTCACAACCTCCTTAATGTAGAAAGCCACAATGTCTTTCTTCGACTCTTCAAGAATTGACTTTTTGTCTGCTAGTCGCGCACAGACTCCGCATACGACACCGAGAAGAGGCGCATTCTTGTTCGCTGCGGTAGGGTCTGCAGTCAGTCGGCTGACAGACTGCCGCACTGCATCAGCACCCCATGCCTCAGACGTGAATACGGCGCGCAAAGCACGTCTTGTTACTCGGAGGGCTGACTGTTTTACCGCAGGCTTGGGGTTGTGGGAAAGACAATTTTCCAGAGCCTTGGCATCGACCGCAATCAGGTCTAGCACGGTGGGCAACGGTGTGTTCTGGTCCTCGCTAGCCTGCTGCAACAGAATACAGCACCATTCCAACAGAACAAATGCAAACGAAGAAGCCAGACCTGGTCTAGATGCCTCGATTTGCAATTTTTGCGTGAGGAATTTTGTTTCTTCGGTCGCATTGGGGCCGCGGAGGAGAGAGCGGAGGCATTGTTGGACCGCCTGCCGGGAGGATCGATCGACATAGACAGGATAGGTACGGAAGAGTAACTCTAGTAGACCGTGACGAGTTTCTGGTGATACTTCAGACCCTAAGGAATAAATGGTCAGTGAATCTGCTTTCCATGAGGCCGTGGATCATCACGCTACCATTCTTGTCGCGGAGTTCTTGCAGGGCCCGGAGCCTGCGTGAGGTCGAACTCGAGAAGAGAACGACCTGCAAGGCATCCAGATCCCCGGCCTTGACCTGGTCCCATGGAATTCCATCCATGATCGGCGGTCAATACGGGGGAATGGAGAGAAGGGGGTGGTTCAGAGGGTGTTGAAGTTGGTGAAGTGGGCTAGGAATGCTGTCATAAGAGTTTTGTGTGGGGAGCTGGATTACATCCCGCCATTAAACAGTCATGGCCGACTCTTCGCTCTTTACACCTTTCAACACTCTTTTTGGGAATATTGTGCACCATATTACACAGTATTTCACAGGCCAAATTCATTGGTCTTTGACCGCTGACTTTCAGCGTGCTTTGAAGACATCTCCGCAAGCACCACTGATAATTCAGCCATAATGCCGCCGAGCAGCAAGAAAAAGAAGAAGCCCGCCTCCAACCCGGCTCGAGGATTTGCAACTGTTTCTATGCCCTCAAAGCCTAAGCCAGAGGCAATAACAACACCGTCTTCAGCCGCCGAAGAATCAAAACCCACGCCGGAAAACGAGCCGCAACCTGAACGCACCGACGTACGAACCGCAGATGCCGCTGCACCACAAGCAACCTCCTTGTTACAGGACTACACACCGGAGGAGCTGGAAAAGCATCTTGAAGAAGCAGAGCTCCAGATTCTGGTCGACAAATACGCTGTCAAGTGTAAAAATGACGCAGCGCGCCAGGCCACCAAGCTGGAGAACGAACGCCGTGTTTTCCGACAGCAATCAGTAACATTGAGCCTTCTGGAGTGGTTACCGACAGATATTCAAGACAGTATCCTCGAACTGGCTAGTACCGAAGAGCATGACTATCTTATAACAAGTGGTCGGGTCCCAAGTTCAAAACAGGCTGGCTCCGAGGAGGATCTATATAACAAGCTTTGGACCTTGAAGGAAACTCTGCTCAAACTCGACTTCCCAGCAAACCGCGTTGAGGATGCACTGAAGCATGTTTTGCAATATTTTGCTGGCAACTCAGCCAATGCCGGTCGGGACGTTGTGTGGAACCTTGATGAAGCAATTGAATGGTTGGCTACGCACAGTGATAAGAACGAATTGCCATCGTACACACAGACAAATACTCGTCAACTAAAAGACACGGATAGTGTCACCTCATGGATGACAGGTAAACCCTTCCAGGGCTTGGACTTTTTCATGGGACATAATGCTGACTCTTGGCAGAATCGAAAGGTTCAGGGACTTCGACCCCTGTTTCATCCCAAAATCGGAGCAAGCAAGGAAACAAAAAGGCAGACTGGAAGGCAGCAAAGGCTGCCCCTCCTATTTCATACGACTCGGACAGCTCAGTCGACCCAGATATCATGGTACCCGAATGGCTGGAGCTGCAGACTCAACTTTACAGCCTGGATCCAGATCTCTTCGATCGTCCCGGAAAAGGCAAGAAAGGTCGCGGCGGCGCTGGCAATTTGTCAGATGACCCTGAAACCTCCAAAGTGCAGCGGAAGATTGCTAAGATTGAACGTGATGTGCTTTTCGAACGCCGAGAAGCAGAGTACATATGGGAGCAAAAGCTTGACGAGCTCAGAAAGGATGCTTCATTTATTCGGCGCCCGGCGGACAAAAAGAAAAAGTCTCCGACCGATGCAGAAGATCAGCCGAAGCCCGAGATTAGCGAAGAGATAGACCCGGCCCTCCTTGCGATCGACGGAATGGAGGATGCCCTTGGGGACTTGTTCCAAGGCGAAGCTGAGGATCCAGGCTCGATTTTAGGTATTCCTCCTCCAGAGACCCAGACCCCGGTCATACTCCGCGACTTTGGGAAATCGACAGGCCTGAGCCCACGGCGAGTCTTGGAAGAGACTTGCAAATCAAGAGACACCTCTTGCGTGGTTGTCTACCAAGACTTTTCCTCTTCGAGTCATTCGAACAGAAAGGCTCTCGAGGTGCGGTGGTCGAAACCCCAAGAAGTCCCGTTCCCGTTAGCAGTGGAATCCATTACACACAAGTCGAATGCCTTGGCTACTTTTGTGTCAATGGATGCCCTTGCAACGCCGAATGCGCAGCAGGCTGAGGGGTACGTGTCGACTCTGGCTTTGTTCATCTTGTTCCCTCAGAATTCCAAGGAAGGCAAGGCCTACCTGCGGCTGCCAGCCGTTTGGAGAGACCTCTGGACTGAGTTCGCAACACTGCAGAAGACTCAACAGGATGAAGTCGATAAATCTACTGTAAAAGAGTTGAAGCGTCTGATCCAAGAAAACCAAGGCACGTTCGAAGATGACGTCGTCCTATCTGACAACTTCCGGAAGAGAAACGGCGTTGGTAGCAAGCCAGGCACCCCGGTGAAGGGGTCTACGCGTGACAATTACCCGGGTATCGATGACCGTCTGAAAGAAGCTTGGATGGCTAAATCGTCGACGCCTTCGTATCAACGCATGATACAGGGTAGGATGAACCTCCCAATCTGGGGGTTCAAAGATGAGATCCTGAGTACGCTCGATGATCACCGAGCTCTGATCATTTGCAGTGAAACTGGTAGCGGAAAGAGTACACAGATTCCGTCATTCATTCTCGAGCACGAGATGGTCCACGGTCGTCCATGCAAGATCTATGTGACCGAGCCGCGCCGTATCTCCGCAATCTCGCTTGCTCGACGTGTCAGCGAGGAGCTTGGAGAGAGCAAGAACGACGTGGGCACGAATAGGTCTCTCATTGGATTTGCGGTGCGATTGGAAAGCAAGTTTACCCAATCCACGCCGTTGATCTATGCGTAAGTCCTCACTTCTCTCTAGGGCTTACCTTTGTGGTCGCTTAACTAATACTTTATAGAACCACCGGAGTGGTGGTACGAATGCTCGAACGGCCCGAGGACTTCCAAGACATCACTCATGTGGTTCTTGACGAAGTTCACGAGCGCACCATCGACAGTGACTTCCTTCTGATCGTGCTCCGACGACTCATGCAGAAGCGGCCTGACCTAAAACTCATCCTCATGTCCGCCACTCTTGATGCGCAACGTTTCTCGAATTATCTCGGCGGGGTGCCAGTTCTGAACATCCCTGGGCGAACTTTTCCCGTGGAGATGAAGTATCTGGAGGATGCAGTCGAGATGACCAACTACCGTTTGTCGGAGGATGCGCAGCACACAGTCCTCGACGATGATATGGACGACCCACCCACGGATGCCGACACCACAGGAGGCCTCCAAGCCAGTCTTGATGGGTACTCTAGACAGACTAAGGAAACTGTTATCAACATCGACGAATACAGACTAGACTATGAGCTGATCAAGAGGTTGCTTCTGAAGCTTGCCACCGCCCCGGAGATGGCTCACTACAGCAAGGCGATTTTGATCTTCATGCCTGGACTGGCGGAAATTCGCCGCCTGAACGACGAGATCCTGTCCGAGCCCATGTTCCAGAGGGGTTGGATTGTGCATACGCTTCACTCTTCGATTGCCAGCGAAGACCAAGAAAAGGCCTTCAATGTACCCCGGAAGGCACAAGAAAGATTGTCATTGCAACGAACATTGCGGAAACAGGTATCACCATCCCGGATATCACGGCTGTGGTCGACGCAGGAAAGGAGAAGATCATGCGCTTCGACGAGAGACGTCAATTGTCCCGCCTTGTTGAGTCATTCATCTCACGTGCGAACGCTAAACAGCGTCGGGGTCGTGCTGGACGTGTCCAGAACGGTATCTGCTTCCACCTGTTCACTAAGCATCGTCATGAAAAGTTGCTCTCTGAACAGCAAACCCCTGAATTGCTGCGCCTTTCTCTGCAGGATCTGGTGCTTCGTGTGAAGATCTGCAAATTGGGAGAAGTGGAACAGACACTCCTCGAAGCCCTTGACCCGCCGTCGTCTAAAAACATTCGCCGCGCCATTGATTCATTGAAGGAAGTTAAAGCACTGACTAGCAACGAGAGCTTAACCTCTCTCGGCACACAACTGGCCAAGTTGCCGTTGGATGTCTTCCTCGGCAAAATGATCATTCACGGGGCCTTCTTCCGGTGCTTGGATGCGACTGTCAGCATTGCTGCTATCCTCTCTTCCAAGTCACCATTTGTGAACACAATCGGATCCAACTCACAACGCGACGGTGCGCGAGCGTCTTTCCGAAGAGGTATGTCCTAATATATCGATCTTGCACAGTTGATAACTAACAAATACTAGGTGACTCGGATCTTTTGACTGTATACAACGCCTATTGCAGTTGGAGACGCATAAGAAGCACACCAGGGTCCAACGAGTATTCTTTCTGCCGAAAGAACTTCCTCAGCCCGCAGACGTTGCTGGCTATCGAGGATATCAAGATGCAACTGGTAGTGTCAATCGCCGACGCAGGTCTTCTGACCCTGGACGCATCACAGAAAGCAGCCCTCAACCGGTGAGGGATCCTTTCGTTCAAACATCACATCTAGCCTGACAACTGCTAACCAACTCTAGTGCACGCTCTAACAGCCGAAACCGCCAATTCTTCGTCATCCCTGAAGATTTCGACATCAACAGCAACAACGATATTGTGATCAACTCAGTCATCGCCTGGAGTTTCTATCCTAAGCTTCTGACGCGCGAAGGCAAGGGTTGGCGCAATGTTGGCAACAACCAGACAGTCACATTACCCGCTGTTTCTGTCAACAAGAGGGCGGATTCGTCCGTCAAGTGGCTGTCATACTACAGCATTATGGCACGTGCTCGAAACCTCAGCGCGCATGATACCAGCGCCGTTGACGATTTTGCTATAGCTTTGCTGTGTGGTGATGCTGAGTTCAAGGTACGACAGTTATCCTCCGCGTTTCCTTTGCCTCTTTCTTTTGGCAATAAGCTAACCGCCGAAATAGATGTATGCTGGTGTCGTCTCCATTGACGCAAACCGTATTCGATTCGCTGTGCGAGATTGGAAGTCTATGCTAGCCTTGAAAATCTTGAACAGCCGCCTGCGCGAGATCCTTTCGAACACTTTCCGCAACCCTCACCGTCCGTTGTCATATAAGCATCAGCAGTGGATCGACCTTTGGCAACAGATCTTTGCTCAGGCTGGTAAGCGATGAATATACCAGCCTTGATGTGTGTTTATGCTCTGCGCCTTTGATGAGATATGCATGTAA